CTCTCTCTCTCTCTCTCTCTCTCTCTCTCTCTCTCTCTCTCTCTCTCTCTCCCCTCCTGATGCAGCCATCCCATGGCCACACTGGAGAAGACTCCTAGGATTTTCTGTGCCCACCTAGCAAGCCCATCTGGGACTGGGGTGATTTCCACAGGGCCTTAAGGGTGGCCCCCTTAGGTCTGCCTGGCCACTTATGAGGCCACTCAACTATGTCCTTCCTGGTTTTGACCCAAAGAGCCCTTTCCACCCAACACTGAAGCCCAAAGGACACTAGGGTAAGACTCAGGGGACATCATAGTTCCCTCTCAGGACAGCTCTTGCCTGCCCTCCTTGCCTGGGGCCTCAGATGGCTGCAGGGTCAGTGCCCAGATACCAAACAGGACCATGATCTGAGTAAGCCTCTCTCTCTGCAGGCCTCAGCATCCACCTCCCTGCAAAGTAAACACAAGGTCACCCTGCCCTTCACTGGGGCCCTAGACATAGAGCCTACTAGCCAAGTCAAGTAGACTTGAGCCGCAGCATGGCACTCACAGCACACACCCCCATCTACAGCCATTCCTTTCGCCTGTGGAGGGCCCTGGGAGCTGAAGAGCCTGCCAGCCATTTGGTTCTGACTGTGCTGATGGCGTGGATGCAGAAGAGGCCTCTGCCTTCCAGTGCCAGCGACAGCAGTGCCTGTCCCGTGGAGAAGCCTCATTTGCGCTCATTGGCCGTGAGTCTCTGACCTCACCTCTGGCAGGCAGCTGTGTGAGCACATGGGTCCGTATGCTGGGCTTCAAGGCAGAGGGCTGAGACCCAGGCCACTCCTACCTGGAGAAGAAGAGCATAGGGCAGCCCAGCCCATAGACTGATCCCACAGTCCTTGGTTCCCTCAGTTCCCAGGGACCTGGCTCAGGACTCTGAGCCCTCAGCAAGTCAGTCCGGAGGATCTGGCTGACTTACTGCTAAAGGGACTGTAGAAGGCAGCCTTGGAGAGGAGGCGCCTCCGGCAGCGTACAAACAGAAACCTAGCATTCGGGGCTCAAAGCCATGCCCCGTACTGGGATCATAGATTCTGGACAAGCCATAGAGTTAGCAGCAGCACTGTCCCCATAGGATCCTCTCTCCAATTGTCTCCACTAGCCCACACAGTATTTGCACACCCTGGAACAGGACGCCTGCTTGCTAAGGTGGGCCATGTCTATACCTGTCTCCTTTGGCTGGACTCTTGCAAGGCAGTCGCTGTGCCAAACTCCATGTGGCCCTTTCTTAGACAGAGTCTTGGCCCCAAAGTCCCCTGAGTAATAGCCCAGAGCACATAGCTGCCTCCCCACACCCAAATCCTCCCTAGACCGACACCCACTTACAGACACAGTACTGAGAATACAGGAAGTGCTTAGGTTAGGGTGCACTGGTTAGGGAGCATGGACTGGGGAGCACAGGTTGGAATGCACCTGGCTATAGAACATCAGCTAAAGAGCACAGGACAGGGAGCACCACTGGGGAGCACCAGGGAGACTAGAGCAGCAGGTCCAGAGGCTCTAGTGGAGGCTGTACAGGTGACATAAGCCAGCACAGGTCAACTGACATTGCCTGGACACTTAGACTTGGTCTTGAGCCATCAGAACAGGGTGGGGAGAGGTGTGTTTGAGTGTGCATTTTGGCTAAACATCCCTAGCCTGGAATCCCAGCACTTCAGCTCCAAACTCATCCAACTCCAACAGGCCATGAACACAATTCACGAGCTACAGTTCGCGAGAGAATTCAAGAAAGCCGTGCGGGACACCTTTCCCCAGCTGTTCCTGGCCCTCCTGGCCCAGATGCACTATATCATGGAGCTGAACCAACCCACAGAACCTGAGCAGGAGCAGAAAGCCCAGGAGTCAGCCATGCCAAGCCCCCAGAGGTGAGCCCAAGGCCTCATAGGCAGCTATAAGAACACTCAGCACGCATGCACGCACGCACGCACACACAGCCGGGGTGGAGGGGCTGAGATAGCAGGATGTCATCATTCAATTCAGAGATCAGAAGTCTAAATTCAGAGGGTCTGCAGCCTTACCCTTTATTACTTCCCTGGCTTGGGCTGTCCCCAGGATATGTCTGTAGCTTGAGGCTGCATGACTATGATCTCAGTCCCCAACATCCCATGATACTGTCCTCTGCCTGTGTCTAAATGCCCACTTCTTATAAGGACACCAGCCACTGAGTTTGGGCCACCCTAATAACTTCATCTGGACCCGAAGGCATTTGCACGGTTGGTGGGGGGTGGGGGGTGGGGTGGGGGAAATATCTCCAACGTATCTTTCTAAAAGGGACGATTATAATTAATAGTCATGATCCCAAATGCCATTCGTGGCCAGGATAGCAGCCAGCACAAATGGTCCCAAAGACAGGCTGTGCCTGCTTTCTTTGTCTCCCTAGGGGTCCTGGCCCTACAGACACTTATCAAATAGGGGCGCATCTTTTTTTTTTTAAGGGGAGGAGAGATATCAATATAGGATGTCTCTATGTAGCCCTGGCTGTCCTGGGACTCACTCTGTAGACTAGGCTGGCCTCGAACTCAGAGATCCGCCTGCCTGTGCTAGGATTAAAGGCATGTGCCGCCAACACTCAGCAGAGCACTTCCTCTTGATCCATATGCTCCTTGCAATGGTCCAGGACATAGCCATCCCTCCCTACATCATACACATGGAACAGCAGAGGTTCGTGGTGGCTCTGATGCTGCTCTAGCCAAGAGGCACTGAGCTGGACCACAGATGACCATCCAGCCCTCGCTCATCATAGCCAATGCTGTGGCTACCGGAGTGGACCATGGATGGCTTGTCTCTGTGTAATGTCATGAACAGTAATGCCTTACCATCAACCCACCTGGCCAAGATGTGAGGGACATTCCGCCCTGTCACAGTCGGGGCTGACTGCTTTGGTACTGCCTTTGTACCGGGTCCTATTTCCCAAAATCCAGTAAGCCAGTCTTTAAAAACCACTGGGGCTCACTCTTTTCATTTGTTTGTGTGATGATATGCTTCATGCAATTTGTCAGTTTTAACAGCTCTCCCTAAGGCACGTCACAGGGAGAAAAAAAATGTCACTTCTCAGATTGCCTCTGAATTCCAATATGCGCAAAATCTCTTTTTTATTCACATCAACCGTGCAAAATGCATGAATCTTCCCTAATAAGCTAATAAAACATTCTCCTCCCAGAGCACAGCAAGGTGGGTAGAATGCAGAGATGGCTGCCCCCTCCCTTCTGTTTCTCTGCCCTCCCTACTCTTGACCAAAGCCTGCTGCCCTCAGGGCTCTACTCACCTGGAAGTCCCCTGTCAAGACCTCCATGGACAACCCTATAAACAGCAACACCTCCCTCAGGCCCGTACCCTACCCTGGGCCCTCAACATCTAACATCTTTCCTGGTTTGTTGCCTCCACCCCATGGGTGGAAGGTTCTAGAAGACAGGGATATCTGTTTCCATGCCCCAAGGGGGGGGGTCCCCACATTTCTGGGCTCATGGGTAGTTTTCCCTGTGGACGGAAATCCCAAGATGCATCCCTCTCCGCCTTAGCTCTCCTTTCTCCACTGGCCACCCTATAAACAGGTCCTAGGGGTGATCCTAGGAGCCAAAGGCCCTGAAACATACCCTGGGTGCAGTACATGGGATCTGATGGGCCCAGATCCAGTCATATGCCCATCCCTGAACCAATGGAAACATCCAAGGCTCTGGCTGACTAGGTGTGGCTCCCATATCCACCTGGAGCATGAACAAGACTTGGGCCTCCCTCGCCACAGAGGAAAACAGCCTGGCTGGGACCAACCAAAGGGGCCCAAGCATGGGCAGGCCACCCAGCAGGCACATGAACAGGGGTGACGACAGTGGGGAATCAGGGAAGCTGGCTGGCACTCTTTGGGCCTCAGAGGGTAGGTGGCATGAATGAGATCTGTCACAGTCTAGGGCCTGACACCTTGTGCCTGGTTGACTGGCACTGTGGAGAGAAAAAGGAAGTGCTGAAGAGGGGTTATAGGAACCCACTGCCGGGTGTGTCACTGGCTGTCGGTGCCCCACAGGGTGGATGGCCCAGAGCACTTGATGGTGGGGCAGATGGGCCTTGACGCTGGAGGCTCCTGACACCTTATTCAGCCAGGCTGGGCCCCATACCCAGGAGTGGGGCTTTGGGGAGAGCCTGCCCTTGACAGGTGTGGGACCTCCTTGAGTCACAAATATGCTCGCTATAGAGATTTCACCAACCCAGGTCATTTCTCGGTTGTGTCCTCTGCCAGCCCTTGGAGGACTGCCCACTGACTTAGTCAAACCATCAGGGCTGCAGGCCCCACTCGTGAGACATGTCATGTCTCTATTTCCAACTCACTCTCCGTCCTCACTGTCGTCCTGGCCTCACTGTTGACCTTTGCCCTTCTAGGTCAAGGGACAAAGACTAGTGATAGAAGAAGCGAAGTGAGTATGTGGGCACGCTAGTCTCATCACTCGGCTCCACACCTGAACCAGGAAGATCCTGAGTTCAAGGCCAGCCTCAGAAAGAGTTTGAGGCCAGCCTGAGATACATAGCAAGATCTTGTCTTTAAAAATAAAAAACAAAACAATAACAACAACAAAAACCTAAATGGAGGAGAAAGCATCTCACATTCACAAGGGTGGGTACATTCACAAACAGAACAGCAGTGCTTGGTAAAGGTGTGGAGAGACAGCCAGGCTGTGGTGGTGCACACCTTTAATCCCAGCACTCAAGAGGCAGAGGCAGGCAGATCTCTGAGTTCGAGGCCAGCCTGGTCTGCAGAGAGAGTTCCAGGACATCCAGGACTACACAGAAAAACCCTGTCTCAAATTTAAAAAAAAGGGGGGGGGGAAGATGTGGAGAAACAAAGCCCTACATAGTGACGGTGAGATGTGAGGTGGAGCAGCTGTGTGGTCCTCAAAAAGGACAACTATGGTGTGAGGTGCAGTGGCGTGTGTTTGTCATGCCAGTGTTTAGAAGCTGAGGTAGAAGGATTGTGAGTATGGGGCCAGCCTGGGATATACAGAGCATGTATCTCCAGGGAGGCAAGTGCCTACAGAATGTTCCATGTGGCCCAGAAATCCCACTTCTTCTCTGAATTTGTACCTGAAAAAAATGGAAAGCAGGGACTCAGAAGCATCTGGAAAACTTGCTGACAGACACTATTCACAGTGGCCAAAATTGCAAATGTGCCAAGAGTCACGGATGGATGGATGGATGGGTGGATGGATGGATGGATGGATGGATGGATGGATGGATGGATGGATGGATGGATGGAATGTGATTGTCTTAGTTGGGGTTTTATTGCTGTGAAAAGACACCATGACCTCGGCAACTCTTACAAAGAAAATATTGAGGTGGTGGCTTACAGCTAGAGGTTCGGTCTATTATCATCATGATGGAGAGGATGGCAGTGTGCAGGCAGACATGGTGCTGGCTACATCTTGACCAGAAGGTTCAGTCCATGGCCACTCAGCCCCATGCACTCGGGCAGAATTTCATGGCAGCAGGAATGTGTAGCTGGGGCTGTTTTTCACTGCTTGGTGGACAGGAAGCAGAGAGAGGTGTAAACCAGAAGGAACCACAGCAGCTAGAGACATGTACTAATCTTCTAAGACACTTATAAATCCAATCAAAAGCCGGGCGGTGGTGGCGCACGCCTTTAATCCCAGCACTCGGGAGGCAGAGCCAGGAGGATCGCTGTGAGTTCAAGGCCAGCCTGGGCTACCAAGTGAGCTCCAGGAAAGGCGCAAAGCTACGCAGAGAAACCCTGTCTCGAGAAACCAAAAAATAAATAAATAAATAAATAAATAATAAATCCAATCAATAAGACCCATCCCAGACAGTACTCAGAACTAAAGGAAAATTCTGACACATGGAGCATGGTGCATGAACCTGGAGGACATCATGCTGAGTGACATGAGCCGGTCATCACACAGAAAACAGCCGAGCAAGATGGCACACAGCTGTGATCCCAGCACTTGATGACAGAGGCAGGAGGATCAGGAGTCATCCTCAGCTACAGAGCAAGCTCAAAGCTAGCCTGGGAAGCATGGGACCCTGTCTCAAATAAACAAAACAAAACAAAAGAAAAAAGACAAGTGTTGTAGGATTCGACTCACACAAGGTCCCTACAGGAGTCAAAGACAGACAGGAAATAGAATGATGGGGTTGGACTGGGGCAGGGTAAGGGATGAGAGCCAGGGGCGGGAGTCAATGTTTAACGGGAGTTTCCATCTGGGAAAATGGGAGGTTAAGTAAAGGTTAGTATTATGGCTATGTTTACTGCCACCAATTCATCTGCTTAAAATTAACTATAATAACAAACTGTGATGTGAACTGCACTTTACCTCAATTAAAAATAGAAATAGAGAACTAGAAAAAAAAATGGCTCCTTGGGTAAACCACTTGCCAAACGAGCCATCGGGACCTCAGTTCAAATCCCCACTGCTGGACACAATAGCACCAATCTGTAATAGCTCAGCACTCACTCCCACAGCGAGACGAGAGACTGAAACAGAAGAATTCCTGGTAGCTCATGGACCAGCTAGCCTGGCATACACAACAGTGAACCTGTCTCAAGGCGGAAGAAGAGGACAGGCACCCTAGGGTTGTCTCAGACCACATGCACGCTGTAGCATGCTCACATCCCCGTTCACACCGAAATGCACATGTGCCTGCACATACACGTAAGCACACACACAAAAAAAAATCATATGCACAATCTATTTATTAAACAAATAAGGAAAAACAAAAAAGGCAATGTGGGGATGTGGAAGTGTGTACTGATGTCTGGCTGGCTCTTGGGGAGTACACAGGCATTGACTCCTCATTCTAAGGAGCCTCTGTCCCTTGAGGGCCCCAGAAGGTAAAAAGAATGGCACTATTGACCAGGCAATGGTGGCGCACACCTTTAATCCCAGCACTTGGAAGGCAGAGGCAGGCGGATCTCTGTGAGTTAGAGGCCAGCCTGGTCTACAGAGCAAGATCCAGGAAAGGCACAAAGCTACACAGAGAAACCCTGTCTTGAAAAACCAAAAACAAAAAAACAAAAAAAAAAACAAAAAAAAAACAAAAACAAAAACAAAAAAAAAACCCAAAAGAATGGCACTATGAGCGGGCATCACTGGGATGCTGGAGTGTGGAGAATCTGAAGATGGGACAGTGTGACCTTCTGGATGGTCAAGGGGACTGTCTGATGGCAGGTGTCATCACTAAGAACTCTTCTTCACTAGTTTCAAGGATGCATAGATGCATAGGAACTTCAAAGATGCATAGGAACTTCAGATGGCACACAGGTGTTGGGGAGTTCTGGACTGGGGGGCAAGGGCTATGGGGATTCTCCAAAGACTGTGGTTTTCTCCTAGAATCAGGCAAAGATTCCCAACAGCACTCACATCAGACAAAAGCTCTCAGCTACTGCTCCAGCACCATGCCTGACTGCCTGCTGCCATGCTCCCCGCCATGATGGCCATGGAATCTACTAACTCACTGATACCATGAGCTCCCTAATTAGATGCTTTCTTTTACAAGTTACCTTGGCCATGGTGTTTTGTCATGCCAATATAAAGGTAACTAAGACACCCACTCCAACAGGACCTAGCAATGGATGTGCTCTGCTGTGTCCTTGTACCCAGCACATTCCTCCTCATCCTGGGCCTTAGCAGGAGGCAGGCTCCAGAGCCGAGACAGTCTGGGACCCCCATCCCAAGAACAGGAGAAGGCTCAGGTGGTGTCTACCTGTCTGGATAGACCCTGGTCTTTCTGCTTGACTGCAGCACATCACTGGAGGCACTGAAGAGTCTGCTGTCCACCACGGGACACTGGCATGACTTTGCTCACCTGGAACTGCAGAGTGCCTGGGAACACTTCACCTCTATCCACACCTACCCACAGGCTGTGGGCCTCCTTGCCAGGTACTAGTGGGGCAAGGGAAGGGGAGGCCGGGCGCATGAACCACAGTGGATCACTTGAGGCCACCCAGAGCAGCATAAAGGCAGCAATCTCCTGGGTCTACATATGTGTTTACAGCACCCTGGAGCACAAGAGGCATGTGCCACACTCCCAGATGCATGCACTCAGAGTGTGCAGGTGCAAAATCCTCCCCCAGTCCCACTCTGTCCTGGGAACCTTAGGAACAAGGACATCCGTTCCTCCTCTTCCTTCCCCACGCATAGCCCAGGCCTAGTACATGGGCGAACACACAGAGACACATGCCTACTCCATCACATTGGGATGTACCTGGCTGCCCAGCCTGGCCAGCCTGGGAGGTGGTAGAAGGTCTATTCTTGGGCAGTGACCACAAAACCAGGCCCTGCCCCCAGGGCCATGGTGCAGAATCACTGCAAAGAGATCAAGGCCATTGTCAGCTACCTGTTGCCCAGCCTGCAGAGCCAGCAGGAGCGAGAAAGGAAGACAGCCATCTTGGTCCTCATTGAGGTAGGACGCGGAGGAAGGAGGGGGCAGTGGGCCCCAGGTAGCCTATGTCCCACCCTCCAGCCTCCTTAACACAAGACAGTATGCCCACCTGACACACCCTGTGGGGACAGCTGCCCAGACTGACCTCTTCCAGGTCTTCAGGGACCTCCACCTCTCAGGACCTTCAGCCTATAGCCTTGCGGGGGGGCCTGTCTCTTCACCTTGCCCTGCCCACATGACCCAAGCAGAGTTGAGGAGCCCTGGGTATGGACTCCACGGAGCAGACCCCGATGTGGCATTGCTCTGCTCACATGTAACTCTGGGTCCCCATCCACTCCTACCCGAGAACCTTGAGCTACAGGGTCATGGTTCAACAAGGGCTGGGATGTGGCCACTTGACCACTGTGGGTCCTGGCAGAGGCAGAGCCTTGAAGGAGGGGTCACTTCCATAACTGGTACCAGCTACCAGGTCTCCAAGCTGAAATGGGGGACCATATGCCTCTTCCCACTCCACTGAAAGGATTGGTGAGCTGCCGTTCCTGGGGGCCTATTTCCATATGTCCCATGCACCTTCCATGGGCGTAAATTGGCTCCGGGTTGGCTAAATAACTGCTCTAGACCTCAGTTTCACCAGCCATACATAGAAGGGTTTGACCACTGAGAAGTTTCAAATGCTTGTCCACCCTGGTACCCTGAGGATGCTGGTCAGCCACCCTCCCCTAATGCCTGGACAGACCCCTATCCCCGAAGCCCCCAACAGAGACACACGCTGCCCAGGAGAGGGCGCCAAGCCTCGCCACTGTCCTCTTGTGCCCCCAGTTCCTCTACAGCCCTGCCCTGTTGGAGGTGCTTTCTAAACAGGCCGCCCTGACTGTACTGGCTCAAAGCCTCCAGGACACCTGCTCTGAGATCCGTGTGGCCAGCCTGCAGGGCCTTGGAAACATCCTCTTCCACACGGAGAAGGTGAGGGCCAGAGGGTCAGGTAGCCCCAAGCATCAGAGGCGGGCAAGGTCCTGTGGGTTGGAACCCTAGCTCTGTCACCTGGGACACTGACTTCTCCCCCTCTGGGCCTCGGCTTCCTCGTCTGAAAAAAAAAAAAATGGACGTATTTTAGGCAAGGACACTCGTGTTCCTCAGGAACATGTCTCCTTACCCTGAGAAGGGACGGACCTTCCTGCACAACCCCAGAGGCCCACTGAAGAGCCAGGCAGACAGCACCCTTCACCTGGCACAGAGAGAGAGCACCCCTTGAGAATCATGTGTCCCTTGCCCCCCAGTTCTCCACTCCCAACTAAGTCCCCTATGCAAACCGCCATCACAAATCACATCCCATATGGACAGCTTTTGGTGAGAAAGACTGTGTTGCTGCTTTGGGGGGCCCTGCCCATCCCTTGTTCCATCCCCTGCCTGCAGTTCAGGCCCTAGGGTTCCTGACCTCGTCCTCACTGCGGGTACCCTGTAGTGAGCAAGGGCTGCGGCCCTGATACACCCCTTCCCAGACTCTAGTGAGAAGGTCTTCAGTACTCAGCAGGCATACCATGCTGTACCTGCCTGGTTTCCCCCTTATTAGTTCCTCTATCAGAACCCCATCCTACCAGACTAGACCCCAGGTCCCCAGCACACTGACTCCACCCAGGGTGCTCAGGTCTGCACTGCCATCCAATAACTCTGTGAAGGTGAATTTAATATTTCAAACCAAACAGGGCTTAGGAGACCAAGTTGGCTTAAAATCTGTTTGGAAGGCAGGAGGAAAGTCACTCTGATTTAAAAAAAAAAAAAAGGCCCCAAGGTGGGAATAGCCTGTTGTTTTCTGATCATCATCCATTTAGAGTTCAGGACACACAGCCAACAAATAGGGCAGGCAGAATGGGCTGGAAAAACAAACCGCAAAAGCAGAAAAAACGGCCCACAATGGTCCCTTGCCACATGGAAGTTCCGAAGACCCGCCTCAGTAAACCTCAGCAACCTGAGCATCCTTTCCTTATCCATCTGATCCCATCTGACCTGAAGGGAGCCAGACATGGGAGCGAAGCCCAGCTGGGGCTCAGAGGAAGGAAAACAGTGGGTCCCAGGCCCGGGAGTGATAAGGATCTGGGACCCAGGGACAAGGCAGCAGCAGGGTTCAAGTTGGGTACCCCCAAGTGAAGCCAAGTGAAGGGGGCAGTCCTGTGCCTTCCACCCACCGCCCACTGCCTTCCCCATAGGGAACCCTGCTCAGAGGTCAACTGCCAGCCTTCCTCAATGGCTTCTTCCAGAACAATGAGGCAGTGGTTGTAGGCATTATGGGCTTGGTATCGGATATACTGCACCGCCTGGGGACAGAGGGCGCAGGCGCCCAGAGTCTCAGCATCGCCATCAACGCCCGCTACTTCTTTGATGACGTGAGCATAGAAACAGGTGGGGGGAACCGAACCTGCGGGCCCAGCTGTGAGCCCACGGGTGCACCAGATCTGGCCAGGTGTCCACCAGGTGGCGCTCCCCTCCTCCTCATGGCTGAAGTGCCAAGTCTCACCTGTCCAACCCCTCTTGTGTCCTGGCCTACTACAGACCACTCGGGCAGGTCCCCAGTGTCCAAAATGACTCCTCCAGCCCCCTTCACTAGGAAATGGGGAATAAGCCACCCAGCTGCCCTCATGGTCCTGGCTGCCAGGGTGTCAGTGGGCACTAGAGGACAGGGTGGTGATTCTGTGTGAGGATGGCCCGAGACCTTGTCTGAGAGAAAGCCTGACCCTCCTCTGAATCGAAGGGAGGAGGGCCAACCTTACCCTGGGGTCCCTGAGCCTGACTGAGGAAGTCCAAGGAAGTAGGGGTTCCAAGCTGGGGAGCCCTGGCACCTCACTACGTCTCCGCCTCACAGGAGCGGGACAATATTCGAGCAGCAGCCATGGCACTGTTTGGGGACCTGGTGGCGACGATGACCGACAGAGAGCTGACTGGCCTGCGGTCCCAGGTGTGCCAGAGCATGGTACCTCTGCTCCTCTACCTGAAGGACCAGTGCCCAGCCGTTGTCACGGTCAGTACCCACCCGCAAGCCTTTCACCTTGGTCAAGGGCCAGGGCCGGCGGGGCCCGCAGGGCCGGCAGGGAGGTTGCCTAAGGGTGGAAGAGAGGGCAGTGGCAGAAGATCTGGCTATCTGCAGGGCCCTCCAGATCCCGGTCCCTGCCCATGCACTCCCCACATTCACTCTGGCCAGCTGGACCTGTGGGTCCACGGGGCTACAGCAGAGCATGGTGGGACAAGGGCACATCGGGCACACCGTGTACCCGCTGATAGGCAGACCAAGCCCTCCTCCCATGCTCCACTCTCTGGACTCCCTATCATCTGAGAAGGAGGAGGAGGAGGAGGAGGAGGTGGAGGAGGAAGAGGAGACAATAGCAGCCAGCTCCCCCCAGCAAGCTCAGACAGAGCTAAGTACCAACCTACCCTACCCACCCACCTTCCACTGGGACCCTGGGACCCCAGGTCGGAGCAGCTTCGCAGACGCCACCAGCACAGCAGGCCTGCTGGGGTGCCCGGTGCAGCTGTGGTCTCGGGGGACCGGAAAGCCCAGGCTCAGACACACACGGGCAGTGAGTGACACCCCACCCCCACCCCCGTGGCTGTCTCCACAGCAGGCCAAGTTCGCTTTCTACCGCTGTGCCGTCCTGCTCCGCTGGCAGCCGCGGCACACCCTGTTCTGCACACTGGCCTGGGAGACCGGCCTCAGTGCCCGCCACTTCCTCTGGACCTGCCTGGTGAGGGGCCAGGGGCCAACAGTGGGGACCTGAGATAGCTGCACACACACACACACACACACACACACACACACACACACACACACACACCACGGACTCTCCTTCCCAGGGAGGTGAGGCTGGCAGGGGTAGAAGCCCGTAGTCCCTGGGGTCCCTGGCAGTGACAGGCGGGCTCTCCTCTGGCCAGATGACCCACAGCGAGAAGGAGTTCAGCATCCACTTGTCCCAGGCCATCAACTACCTGCACAGCCATCACCGCCACATCAAGACCTGGGCAGCTCTCTTTATAGGTGAGCAGCATGGGCCAGGCTTGGAGTCCTCACTAACCCTGCCCACCCACCACCGCAGAGAAAAGGGGAGGTGTGGGGAGTGGGGTGGGGAAGAGTTGGGGGCTTGTGGGAGCTCCTGGAGGCTGGGCCAGAGCAGCCTCCATCCAGCAGCCATGGCTCTCCATCTTGCACAGGGTACACCACCTGCTACCAACCCCAGGCCGTGACACAGATGGTGAATGACATGGATACCAAGCTGCTGTTCTCCAGTGAGCAGCCCACACCCTGGGCCTGTGTCCACGCCCCCCAGCTCCCTGCAGCATGCCTCCCTCAGGCGGCGGGCAAAGACAAGGACCCAGGCCTCCCGAGCAGACCCCCACCTCACCGGGGCACTCCATGCTAGCCAATGGACGGAAAGAGCCCTCGTAGCCTCCTACCCAGATGGAACTGGAGCTGTCGGGGTGGAGGGTGGCTCCCTTCCAGGATGGGCTCACCTTTGACGTGTCCTTTCTCTCTTGAAGCTTTTAAAGATCTCAAAAAAGACCCAGAACCTGCCATCCGGGAATTTGCCACCAGACAGCTCGAGTTCCTTCGGGAGGTGTCAGCCAGATCCAAGAAGTGACTTCGAGCCATCCCCCCCCCATCTCTACCCCCAGAACAGCCCTGCCCCAACCCTCTCCACAGAGCTTGGTTGTGTAGCATTTTTCCATTTGAAAGAAAAACCTAGATTCAAAAAAAAAAAAAGTGTAATGGCTGCCGGCTTCCTGTCCGCCACCTGAGGACCTTCTGCTGTGGCCAAGCCAAGCCCTCCAAGATAATGACAAGACTCAGGGACACAGACAGGGACAGACAAGGAGGGACGGGGCAGAGGCACACTGGAAGGTCTGTGATAGACTCTGCTAATAACTGCTCAGGAACGGGATCAACTCCACACGACCCGAGCCCAGGCCATAGTGCCCACGGCTGAGCAGACCATTCTCTGGGAGTGGGGCCCAAGAGGAAAGTCTCCAGTGTCCCCAGCTGAGAGCTCTTACAGGGGATGTGGAGCAGGTGGAAGTGAAGGGCATTTCAGCATGCTTCTCCATCGCAGGCCAGGGTCTTCCTCCAGCAGGGCCAGCCTGCTCCAGACAGGTATCTAGCCCTAGCTTTGCAAGAGTCCAAAAGTGGGTGCCTGACTCCCTGAGAGGGTCCCCCAATCCCTTCTCAGGCAGAGCCCTCCCCCGCCCCCCAGCCTCTATTTAAGAAATGGCAGACAGGCCCTGCGGGTACAGAGCTTTGGTCGTCACAGATAATAACAGAGCCACGGCCTGTTATTCTCAGGACCCATTCGATCGGCCAGCTCCCCCAAGGGACCCTCTAGCTAGCCCTCCAACCCTGGGCTCTGTGCCTACCACCCAAAAGCCTCCATACTACGTCCCCCAGGCCTTACGGACTGTGTTAGGTTGACCCCGCACGCCCTCACCTGAGTGGATCCCCTTTACCCATCTCTCCCAGCCCCTGGACTATGTGCCTCCTAGGGCAAAGGACATTGTGCTGAAAACTTGGAGGGCAGACTGAAGAAGAAAAAAACAAAAAAACCAAAACCAGCGACTTGGCGCGAATATGCCACAGGGGTAGTGAGTTTCCAGCACACACCAGATCACCACTACTGAGTGTGGGGAAGGAGCACCCCCAAAACGCTGTGCCTTGCCACAAGACCTGCCTTACTGGGATGGCTGGGGTGCAAAGTGGGCCCTTTCAGTTTTTGGGACCTAGTCCCGAGCAAGGAAGGGTGGGAGACCACTGGGCAGACATGGGGAGCGTGAAGAGGTAAGGATCCAAGGTGGGTGACAGTGCAGGAGGGAGGTGCCCTGGGTCTGTTGTAGACGACACAGAGGGACAGGCCTGTAAGGCCTGAGGATCACATCCATCCGTGGAGTCGGTGCCAGAGGACAGACGGCACATCCACACGGACATGGACAGCCAGCCCCTGCCACTTGTCCCCTTTCCTCAGCTAAGGGAAGAGCCAGGCCACTGCTCAGAACTTGTGAGCAGGGAGACCAGGCGCTACACAGGTAACCAGCCTTCCCACACTCTCAGATCTAATGTACCCCACACCACTCTGCTGCCCTACCCTCCTCCTCCTCCTCCGGGCAGTGGGGGTCACTTCCTAGGCCCGTGGCCACTGCAGCCAAATCTCCCAGGTTGCATGGTTATGGGGGAGTGGAGCCCACTGAAAGTTCCAAGTGGACCCTATTCCGCCCTGCAGAGGTGACTCCGCCTCACCTTCTATCCTTCCAACCCTCAAACTGTCACCAGTCCAAGCCACCTAAGGGAACCAAGCTGATGGGTCAAGAACTTGGAGAAACGAGGCAGGGTGCAGCGCGTGGCATGGCCACCAGAGGGGGCCAGAGAGGCACACAGCAGCAACACCACACAGGACAGCAGAGTTGGGAACCATGGCCTCCCAGGATCCAGACCCCATTCCCCCGGGGGCTCCACACCACTCCTCACACACATCCACAGCTCCTGATTTATTGCCTTGAGAGTCCAGAGCACCTGAAGGCCCAGGATCTGGTCACAAAGGTGCCGAAAACAGGTCAGGGTGAGGGCAGGGCCGCTGAGGCATTGGGGCCCAGTGGTTAAAAAAACACCCACCTGCCTGCCGTCCACAGGCCAGGGAGGAGGCCTGGGCAGGGGGGGGAAGGGGGCTGGACGGAACTGGTGGATGGTCCAGGGACAGCCTCAGAAAGACAGCCGTGGGCACGGACAGGGACAGAGCAGGAACGCACACACACACGGCCAATGGACTCCTTCAACACAGATGCCCGGGGCACCAGGAGTAAAGGGCGTACAGGGGCCAGGGCCTGAGCTACATGACGCAACATCTGGTCTTGTGCGTGTGGGGGTCTTTGAACCGCAGTCTCTGCTTAGGCCGGTACTTCTCCAGGTAGGTCAGCTGCTTACTGTTGATGGCCCCACGGCGCTTCCTGCAGACGGGAACAGGCAGGGGGTCATAAAGCCTGGCTTGGACACCTTGCTTCTCCCCCCCCCCCAGGAAACTCCAGACCCTGAGTCATACTCCAGTGGGACTGGAGTGGATAGACCCACAGGAAGTAGGGCTAAGCTGGGGCTCTGGGGGAGAGGCTGGGAGGCTGAAGGTCCGGGGACACACCTCACCCTAGCTAGCCAGCCCCACCTCAGTGCTGTGCCAAGGTACAGAGAACTGTGTGTGTTCGGCATAGGTCTTTAGGTGGCATGTCCGTCTGCATAGCCCAGGCTCCCCTAAGGGCACCTGCAGGCTAGTAGGCCCACACTGCTACAGCCGTACAGGGCCTGCCCCAGAGAGAGAGAGATGGCTGTACCTATTTCAGGCAGCACAAAGGTGTCCACATATCCACAGCGGATATGTCGCACACATTCACACACACACACACACACACACACACACACACACACACACACACGCCACATCCACTGTGCAGTCCTTGCCCAAAAGATCAGAAAGATAAAGATGGGGGTCCTCCAGGAAGGCTACCATACCACAAGGAAGTAATGGCTTGGGAGCAGCCAGGGAGGGCAGAGGAGTGGGGGGGGGGGTGGTTCTTCACAAGGAACAGCTACAGAAGTGAGAGGTGAGGGGCAAGGAGAGGCCCTAAGTGGCAGCCAAAGCCCCACTCAGCTTGCCAAGATCCACCAGAGATCCCTGAGGGCCACCCACCCACCCACGCTGGCTACTCACTGTCGGATGAACTGGATAGCATCTTCATACTTCATCCCACTCTCGATAAGGGCAAGAGCCACCAGCACTGGAGCCCTGCGGGAACAAGCAGAGCTGAGGTGATCTGAGACCCCACACCCCATCTTGTCCCTGCCTCAGGCCACCTGACCAAAATGGGCGCATGAGGACCTAATGACCCCACCCCATCCCCGGGATTCCTTCAGCTTGCCCACAGAGGATACAGACTCCAGACAGCCCAACCCTCTTCTCTAGTCTGGCTCCTCCTGACCCTCCTGTGCAACCTGGGGAAATGCAGACAACCTCTCTGTGCCAAAGCTCCTAGAAAAAAAGAGCCATAAGCATACCGGCTATTGAGCCTGCCCTCCCGCCCCCCTGCCATAGGGGCATCCGGGGGTGCTCCCCTGCCTGGCTCATTTCCATCTAGTGCGGGCAGCTGTTCCTCTTCAGACCTCAGGCCCGGGTGACCAGCATGTCTTTGTGGGAGCTCTTTTTCCGCATGAGGCGCAGTGACTGGGTCACAGCAGGAAGCCCTTCCTGCCAGGCTGTGAAGGGACTTGCCTGGGAACCCTGGGGCCTTAGAAAGGTCGAGTGGATTTGGCCCACATCCAACGGGGCCACGAGCGCCACCCACCCATCACTCACCTTCCCAGGCCGGCCACACAGTGCACAGCCACGCAGCTGCCCGGGTCATTGTAGAATTTGGCCTTCAGCAGGCTCAGCCAATCCTCCACCACTTTGCCAGGAGGGGGCGCCCCGTCATCAAAGGGCCAGTCCTGTAGAGGAATCCGCTTAAGGACTTGCCCTACGGATGTTAGCTTTCCTTCCCCCGAGTCCCTCAGAGTTCTAGGTTGGGGGGCTGGGGGAGGCCGGCCCCGCATGGAGAAGGCTCCAGCCGAGGGTATGCTAGGTGTGGAGAAGACAGAGGTGAGACCCAGACTTGGCCCCATTGGTACCAGGGTGAACCAGCATGGGTCTGCAGGAGCTAGCTGATGGAGGGCGGCCCTTGGGACCTCTCTACCTCTCTCTGCCTCCAAACAGGGCAGCTCCTGGAGGCCACCAGTTTATGTGGCTGTCCTGAGTCTATCCCGAGTCTCTCCTGAGAAAGGGAGATCGGCTGGGGCAGCCTTATACTGAGATGCTGATGCGCCCCTCAACACCCACACTATGGGAGGCCCTTGAGGCTCAGAATGGCCTGTGGGATCTCACAGCAGGGAAGGGTCAACAGAAGGGGTCCTCCCAGGCCTGGCAGTGGATATGAGACCCTAGCAACACAGGGTCCTCACAGCGGAGTAACCTAGGGTCACTCTGGTGCCGAGCACAGCCGGTCAGGGTCTGCTGCACGCAGCCTGGCTCATCCGGGCTCCGCACTGGGAAGGGAGGCCTCGTGCCAAGGAACTGCCTCTGCTCTGGCCCTCCAAGCACCATGACCAGTTCTGCAAGGCTGCCCCTCCTCCACTTAGCTGCGCCCCCAGGGCCAAGAAGGCAAGGAAACAGCAGCTAGGATCCCTACCCACAGCCTCTGCTCAGGATCTCCCGGGACCCACCGCTGCCAGGAGACAGGCTCCCACGTGGCAGGCGATGAGAGGCTGAAGAGAAAGAGAGGCCCCTGGGAGCCGTCGGGGAGCCAGGCAGGCACCTGCTGAGCCCCGCCTCATCTGTACAAGAGGGTCTCCATCTTCACCAGCCAGGGTGGACAGGACTCAAGCAGGACTCAAGCCCTGATCCATAGTGCCAAAGACACCCAGCAGATGGGGAGGCAGAACAATCAGGGGAACGCCACTCCCCCATGTGAGCCCTCACACTTTTTTTAAGGTGTATTTATTATATACACAGAAGAAGGCACCAGATCACATTACAGATGGTTGTGAGCCACCCTGCGGGTGCTGGGAGTTGAACCCGGGTCCTCTGGAAGAACAGTCGGTGCTCTTAACCTCTGAGCCATCTCTCTCCAGCCCGGAGCCCTCCCACTTCTAGCTGTGGTGGATGTCTGACTCCAAGCC